GCCTGGCTCTGCCCACAGGCTGTGGTTCCCTCTGGATTCTGTCTCCCCCCACCCCAGCCTTTCCCAGGGCCTGGGAGCACTTTTCCCGGAGACCCAGCAGGGCAGAGAGCCAGGGCCACTCCCAGCGAGGGGCTGGCTCCGCGGGGCCCGGGCCGGGCACTCACCAAATGGAAATACTTCTCTGTGTCCAAGTCTTTCACTGCGAGAGGAAAACACACATCATAAATAAACAGGGAAAGCCGCAGAGCCAGAGAGGGAGAGAGACACCGAGTCAGAACGGTGGGGAATGCGAGAAACAGAGACAGAGATCCAGAGAGACACTTGGGAGAATAGAGATGGAGAGACAGGCTGAGTCGGGGAGGGACAGAGAGAAAAACGCCAAGGCAGAAAGAGGTCATAGAGACACAGTGACAGACAAAGGATGAGTCAGAGACAGTGAGACCCCCACAGCGATGGAGACAGAGACATGGAGAGAACAGAGAAAGATGCTGTTGCAGAGGGTGTGGGGGACCCCAGGTGACTGGGTGGCTGTCCCCCCTCTCAGCCCTCCCTGCTCTCTCCCCGAGCCCAGACCCAACCCTGCCCTCTGCCCCCAAAAGGACCCCAGATCCAGAGCCAGGCTCCCACGGGAATGTGCAGGGTGGGCAGGGCAGGGCCGCGGCACTGAGCCCAGATGGTCACACCGACCTCCCCCAGCCTGGCAGTGGCTCTGGTCCCTTACCCGCCCACACCCACCCCGGGGCTGGCGCCAGCTGCCTGCAGGCAATCGGCTTAAGGGGGCTGGGCCGGGCAGTCCCGGGCAGAGAGGTTGGCCTGGCCCTGGGCGGGGGGTGGCCAGAGGGGTCCCCGAGCCTACGTGCTCAGCTACCTCGGCCCAGCGTGTTGTCCTTCTTGTCTGTGAGGCTCATGGCCAGAGAGGCACCCTCAGGGATCTGATGAGGGAAGAGCCGTGGCGCGGGGGGCGGCGGGGGCGGGGCGGTCCGCACCTTGTAGTGGGCCAGGGTGTTGAGCTTCTTGCGGCCGTCCTCCACCACCGAAGTGTCATCCAGGTCCCTCAGGATGTAGCTCTGTGTGCTGGACGCGAACCACTCTGTGAGAACAGTCGGGTCAGAGCCGGCGGGGGCAGGCCCACAGCCCACGGCCCACGGCCCACGCACTCCTGCTCTGTCCACAGAACCCCAGGCCGGCCATGCCCCCAGCCTCTATGTCCCCATCTGTAAAATGGGGACAGGGAAGAATGGGGAGGGGCGTAGAACATGACGGTGCCAGGGCAGTCTGGATGTCCTCGCCCCTCGGTGGCTAATGTCACAGTTACTGCGGGGACAGCAAGAGGGACCATGCGTCAAAGTGGCCACACATGTTCCTCGGCTCCCTGCCGTCTTCAGGGTAAAAGTCTCCAGGGTCTGACCCAGCACCTGCCTGGCCTCCAGTCCTGCCCCGTCATCAGCCCAGTGGCCACCTGACGCTCCCGGCTTTATGTGACAATTGCCATGCCTGCCCCACCAGGGCTTAGAACAGGCCTGGCAGAGTGTCCAGCAAAGGCTGCAGTCGTGAACAGACAGCCTCAGGCTTGCAGGCTAACCAAGACGCCTATGCATCCTTCAAAACCCACTTGGGGGGCTGGCAGGTGGCGAGGTGGTTAAGGGCACTGGACTTCCCCATGGCGGACCACGGTTCGAGGCCCAGACCTGGTGGCTTGCTTTCTCACTTTCTCTCTCTCTATATATCCCTCTCTGGTCAAATTAAATTAAATAATTATTAACAAAAAAGTTCACTTGAGGGGGCCAGCAGATGGCATAGCGGTTATGTTGCTAGGACTCCCACAGGACTGACAACAGTTTGAGTCCCAGACCCAGTGGCTTGAACCTCATGCAGGGTGCGTGTGCATGCGTGCCCAAGATCCCAGGAGAATGTAGAAGGGTCCTGGCGGGTGGCCGTCCCCTCTAGGGGGTGATTTCTCACTTTTCCTCTCACTGTCTCTGTGTTTCTTGCTCTCTGGCCACCCTAAAGCCAAAATCTCTTTTAAAAACAAAACAAAAAGGACCAGCAGTTGGCATAATGGCTATGTTGCTGGACTCCCATGTAGTCGACAGGGTTCAAGTCCCAGACCTGGTGCCTTAAACTCACTCCGGGTGCGTGTGCATGCGTGCCCAAGATCCCGAGAGGAGAATGGAGGAGAAGGGATTGCGGCGTGGCCATCCCCCCTGGGGTGATTTCTCGCTTTCTGTCTGTCTCTTTTTTGTCTTTCTGGCGAGTGCAGGCGCCCTATAACAAAAACCTCTCAAAAACAGAAAAAAAAAAGAAAAAGAAAAAAATATTATAAATAATAATTAATAACATTAAATGAATAAATACTTTTTAAAAAAGGGACTAGCAGTTGGCATAATGGCTATGTCGCTGGACTCCCATGTAGTCGACCGTGGTTCGAGTCCCAGACCCGGTGGCTTAAACTCACGCCGGGCGCGTGTGTGTGCATGCCCAAGATCCTGAGAGGAGAGGAGGAGAAGGGATTGTGGCGTGACCATCCCCCCTGGGGGGTGATTTCTCCCTTTCTGTCTTTCTGTCTCTCTCTGTCTGTCTGGTGAGCGCACTCACCCTATAACAAAAACCTCTCCAATAAAAGAAAAGAAAAGAAAACCCGCTCAGATGGGCCCTCCCTTGGGAAGCCTTTCTCAACACTAGTTGCTGTGTCCTGCAGCTTGCTCACCCGCAGGGCTCCCCGCCAGAATAAGAGCTCCTTGCTGTTGGGCGCTTTATCCCAGCCCCTCAGTGTCCCCAAGCCCGGGACAATGCACAAGGGTCGAGCGCGCCAGCCCGGCCGAGGCACGGGTGGGCCTGCAGAGCGGTCCAGGGCGGTGCCCACCCACCGAGGTCCACGTCCTCGACGCGCGGCCACTGCGAGTACGGCACGTTCTTGCAGAAGGCATCCAGGATCTTCTCCTTGACCTGTGTCAGCGTGTCGGTGTCCATGGCCCGCACGCTCAGCGAGTCCATGCCGCAGCCCTGGAAGGACACGTTCAGATTCTGCAGAGAGAGGGCGGGCGCCAGTCAGTGCCGCGGGGAGGGGGCGGGCGCCAGTCGGTGCCGCGGGGAGCCAGGGCCGGGCTGGGAGGGGGTGGCCGTGACCCCCGGCCGCCGCGCCGGGCTCACCCGGGGCTTGGCCTCGATGTTCTCCCGCAGTAGCCACTCCTCGTTGAGGGTGTAGCGGGCCTTCCCGGTGATGGCGTCGATGGAGCCCTTGTTGACCTGCTGCTTGATGGCGCACAGGAGCAGGAAGAACGGCTCCCCGACCGTCTCCTGGGGGGGCGAAGGCCGTCAGGGCGCACAGCCCCCAGGCCGGTGGCCATGCGGCGGCCACCCAGGGCAGGGCTCCACCAGCCCCCTGCCTCTCCGCGGCAGCCTAGCGTCCTCCTTTTGGGCCCTGGAGCCAACACCGTCCCCCAGGGTGTCCGCATGGACTCTGATAAAACACCACTGGCAGGGCCAGCAGGTGGCGTTGTGGGTGAGGTGCTCCACTCACACGCGGTCAGCCACGGTGTGGGCCCCGGACCCGGCAGCTTAAAACTCACACCGGGTGCGTGTGCGTGCGTGCCCAAAATCCCGAGAGGAGAAGGGATTGCGGCATGGCCATCCTTCCAGGGGGGGATGACTCACTTTCTGTCTCTCTGTCTCTCCAGCAAGTGCACGTGCCCTATAGCAAAAATATCTCCAAAAAAAACCACAAAAAAACAAAACACACCACTGGCTACGGGCTACATATTCATATTCATCCCACATCCCAGCAACCCTGCCAGGTATGGCACATCCTCCTCGCCGTGTAGTCGCGGCTCAGAGACAGCAAGCAACCTGCCCAGGGTCACCCAGCTGGGAAGTGGTAGAGCTAGACTCGAACCCTCCCAAGCCTGCACCTCTTCTTACTAAGCTGGAGCCTCCCAGGGAGAGCTTAGATGCGACCGGAACACAGATGTGGCCTCAAGTGACCCAGATCACAGCGGACAGCCATGGAGAGGCTCAGGGCAGAGCAGGCACAAAACCCCTTCTCCCGCCAGCCCCCAATCCACAAAGTGCCCCAGGCCAGAGAGGGCCCGCTGCCAGCACACCCTCACGCAGATTTCAGTCACTGCGGAGCACGGGAGCCAGGAGCGCCGCTTCCACGAGCATGTCAGGGCGAACGGGGAGCTGCATTTGCAAATGAGGTGTGTAATACTATTAGGCAGACCCGGCAGGGCTGTGGGGCCGTGGGCCAGGCCTCGTTCCTGCTCCAACGCTCCGTGTTCTGCAGGAGGAAGCGGGCTCAGAGGAAAAGGCCTGAGAAGCCGTCCGAAGGCCCAGCGACCTGACCAGGCCCCGCCGTGGTCCCGACCGCCTGTACACGGCAGCCAGCGGAGGCCGAGGCACCCAGACCAGCCTCTAGCCCACCCTCACACCCCACTTCCCCAGGAGGCCCTTGTGAGCCCCAGGACCGGGGCAGAGGAGCATTTGATGGGAGGAGACCAAAGCCCAGGCTCCAGCCGGACGCCCGAGCCCCGGTTCCGGGCTGTGGCAGGCCCGTGCCGTTGAGTGGCGGCCAGCTGGGAGCAAAGGCCCCCGCACCCTGCTATGGCTGTTGGAGGCCGGGGTTGGAGGCCGGGGCAGAACACAGTAAGTTCTCTACTCCTGGGACCTTTGGTGGCCTCCCAGCCTTGGCCCTGCTGTCCCCGCGGCCCGGCCTCCTCCCTGCATGACTCTTGCCCTACAAGCCCTCAGGCCCCAGCTCCAGGGAGTCTCCGTGACCCTCGGCAGGGTGTGAGGCCCCGAAGGCTGAGCCCTGGCATTTGTCTCTGCGTCTTGGTCTCTCTCCCCTGAGACGAGGAGGGGCCCAGGACAAGACTGGGGTCTGCATTAGCCCCGGGCCCACAGCAGTGACCGAGACACCCCAGGGAGGGCCGGATGGCAGGGGAGCAACGTCCGGGTCTCCGAGGTCCCGCCGGCCCATGCTCCAAGCCCTCGGCGGCCCAGCCGGCTCTCCTGCACCCTGGCTCCCGGTCCCCACCGTGGGCCCTTCGGCCTGGCCCTGGGGTGCCGGGCCGAGGCGGCGCTCACCCGCAGACAGCTGTACATGCAGATGGACATCCAGTTGGTGAGCATCTTCTCCACCACCGACTCCGTACGCCGCAGCATCAGTTTGGGGTTCTTGGCGGCCGAGGCGTCGACGAGGTCGACCAGCAGCTCCTTCATGACGCTGGTGTAGTACTCCAGCTTGCCGTGCAGC